ACATCAGGCTGGTCCAGGGTGGCATGGCCGTAGACTGGTTTTCTCCTGGTTTGCAGATGGCCATCTTCTCGCTCCCTTTTCCCATGGTCGTCCCTCTGGGCGTGCTCCCTTTGTGTGTCTCTGTGTCCCAGTGTCTTCTAGGAAAGACACACCAGTCAGATTGGATCAAGGCCTGCCTTAATAGCCTTGTTTTAACTTAATCACCTCTTTTAAAGGTCCTGTCTCCAAACACAGTCACAGTCTGAAGTACTGGGGGTTAGGGCGTCAACGTGCAAAATTTGGGGGACACAATCTTGCAACGGTCAGAGAAAAGCGATGTTTGCCGCACGTGTTCAAGTCCTGCCCTCCTTCAAAAGTCGTGGCTTTGATGCTACATCTTTCCCTTTATCCTGCTCCTTTCAATGAATGTTTATGAAAAAAGAGTCATCTGCACTAGCTAGTTTTATCTCCCTTAATCCCTTGCTGATGGCCTGTAACTATCGGTCTTCTACCCTTTAAGACTCTACTGAAACTTTTCTTTCGGAAGCACGTTTTCTAATGTTCTTGCTGCCCGGATGGAAGGGGTCCTTTTCAGCTCCGACCCCTGGCCATTCTCGGCAGTGTTAATGAATTCTTGTGTCGCTCTCGTCCATCTCTCTGTCCTCACACCCTACCCTTTCTGATCCTTCTTTCTCAATATTGTCCATGGGATCCTCTTCCTCTCTTCTCTCTTTAAATATTACCATTCACCGAGGACTCATCCTCAGCTGACAGTTCCTCTCATCCCATAGACACTCTGTCCATCTCATTTATTCATTCATATCCTCCCTCTCCCTCTCTCTTGATAATTTTCCTGAGCCACCTTGAAGATCTTGACCTCTCCCCTGAGTTCCAATTTCAATGTGTAACTGCTGATTAAACATATACTAATCTCGGTGTTCCTTAGATTAACAAAGACAAACTGACATGACCATGGCTGAATTCAGTGTTGCCACCTCCACACCTGCCTTAGAAAGCACTGTAGCTGTCTACCCCAGTTTTCCTAACCAAAAACCCAGATGCCAACCCTCTGCGCCTCCCCTCCCTTAACCCCATGGGCCTTGCTTAATCACTAAGTCACCAAGTTCTCAAAAGAAGGAACTTGTCATTGGAGCATTTTTTTTTCAATCTCTCCTTTACTACACTCAGCTAGTGTTGAGTGTAATGGGGTGATCGTGTCGAAATACACCTTTGACTGAGGTCGTTAGTCCCTGGATAAAATCTAAGCTCTATCATGTGATCTCGCAACCACGCCTTCTGTTGTTGGCAACTGAAACCTGATGTTGAAATCATCCTGGGTGTGAGCGAGGTGACTTCTCTCCTCCGGGCTAAGTACTGCCTTCTATTTACGAATCATAGCAGGCCAAAGGTAGTACTTAGCCCGGAGAAGAGCAGTCACCTCGCTCACACCCAGGATGATTTCAACATCGGGTTTCAGTTGCCAACGACAACATGCGTGCGTGTGCCATCAACACACACACACGCTGGTTTGCACAATCCATATTGTGTCACCCAGACTTGGCAATCATTACTTCTTGGTGCTAGGGTTCCTGGGAGTTAACTGGGGTGTCAAAGGGTTTTACTAGACACGGACAGGAAGGAGGAGGTGGTCGGCGGAGACCGCATCACAGTGCAACCTGGTACCCTTCTGTCCCATCCTGTCCCTTCCCATCCCTTCTCCTTCCTTCTCCAAGTGTTGAGCCCCAAGCACTCATCATAAACCTCTTGCATGTCACTCTCCTTGCCAGAGTCTGCTTCTCAGAAAACCCAGCTGTGACAATTAGCCTGTGCCAACAAATTATCGGCGAGCATCTGGGTTACATAAGAGTCTGAGGGGCTTTATGCCTAATGTGGTTGCTCTCACCTTCTACCCCAGACTCAAAAAAGAAAAAAAAATTTTTTCCCCTGGGGCACACTCCTATCTTGTACCCAGCTTTTAAAACTGGGTGCCTTCCATGTCAACCTCTACCCTTAGTTCCCTGCCCCAGAGTGAAAACAGCTGAAAACTGGTGGAGTGGATTTTCTGCTTTTTGCCTTTCCAGTAAGAGCATTTCCTTTTCCTGTGGGGAGCCACCCCTCCCTCCAGCAGTCCAGGTCATGGGCTTAGGGCAGCCCTCTCCCCCATCTTTCTGTACTGCTTCAGGGGTGATCACATGACCCAGACCTGGCCAATCAGAGGGTTCTATTCCCTGGTTATGGGCTTGGTTTAACGACAGACACATCACCTGCATGCGTCCAGTGTGGATCAACTTGAAGATTTGCTGGTGCCTTTGGGGGAAAAGATGTTCTTTTTCTATTGAGATTTGCTAAGCTGCTAAAGATATATGTTTGGACCCGCTGGGGGCCGACACTAAGGGAGAGCATCTCAAGAAATGAAGCCAATACAGAAGGGAGAATCATCTTTGGCCACATAATTTGCAGCCTTGTTACCAGCCACGACCGAAGCTTCACCCGGCCCCAGACTTGCCAGTTGTGTGAGCGATAAACTTCCAGTTGGACTTCTGTCTCTTGCGATGGAGAGAATTCTGAGTAATGTGGCCAGACCTCGGCGCAGAGTGGGAATACGGGCCAGGTACTGGCTAGAACATTCCTATGGGAGCATCTGACTTTCAACTCAAAGTGAGCTAAAGACTGAGGCCAATTTTCAGAAAGTGATGGGACTGTCTTTGGAGGCTTTCTTGGTCATAGGCAGGCCGAACGTTGCAATTAGAGGTTTCATTCACAGCTGGATAAAGTGAAACGTGAGAAAAGATCATCCAGGCTTCCTCAAGTCTGGGGGACGTGGGAGCCCAGAGGCCTCACCTTCCTCGGGTATGCGTACGGGGCTGTCACTGACTTCACATGCTCCCGGAGCTCCTTGGTGAGCTGGTCTGAGTCATGGGACAGTAACTGTGGAGCCAGGACCACAGATGCCTTCGGCCCCTGTAGTGAGGATGAAGACCAAGAGAGAAGGGAGTAGAGTGTGCCGTCGTCTCCCGGGGTAATGTGAAGCCACGGCCACCACCTTTATATCCTCCCAACTGTACCTCCAGATATCCGGGGCCAGCGAAAGGGAGGAAGGGGCTAAGAAAGGCCAAGATCCCAATTCTCTCTCAAGTGCCTTACTGATTGGGCAGGGAGACCGAGACCAGGCTCAGCTTGTATCCTGAGACAATAGAGAGTGATCAGGAGAAACTAGATATAAGAGAAGAAAATAAAAGACCATAAACCTGGATGATTTGTTGAACTTCTCCAAACTACGGTTTGCACATCGGTAAAATGGAGATCCAATTGTCATACTTAATTCATGGCAAATACAGTGACCTCAGTGCCCGGCACATAGGGTTTTCTCAGTCGGGGATCCCCTGGTGCTCCCCAAATAGTATTGATAAGTGGCTCGGTACAGAGCAAGGTGAATCTGCATCGTGCTCCAGGAGCCCCAAGGTTCCGTGGGGTTTCAGTAGATTCTTGTCCTCATCTCTCACTTCCATCTGAGCATCTCGGCACCAAGCCTGACATGTTCGATAAACTCGGGTCTCTGCTAAAATGTTACTCCGTCACAGAGGACTTTCCTGACCACCATTTCTGAGAAATCAGCCCTTCACGCCACTTCACCCCATCTCACTCATCTTCACTTTTCTCCATAGAACTTCTCACTATCTGCCATGTCATATATTTATTCGTTTGTCTCTTTCCCCGACTCCCGCTAGGATGCGATCCCCGTGAGAGCAAAAGCTTTGCCTGTTTTATTCTTTGCTGAATTTTCAATACCTATCCCATAGGAGGCGCGCAATCAACGTCTATCGAATAAGTGCTTGATAAATGGTGGCTCACATTTTTATTATCAAAGAGACTTCTGAAGCCCACCAGGTTGACCAGCTCACAATATCCCCTAGGAGCAGGTACCATTTCTGTCTGGCCATAGAGCTCTTGGATGCCCAGTCCTCTCTGGCCTCTTCAGTTCTCCAGTGTCTCTCCACCCACCACTGTGGCAGCTCTGTAGACATGGGAACTTGCAACTGAACCAAACTGTGCCTAGGCCTAGAGCTGGATGCTGAGTATTTTGATAATGAGGATGACTTCATGGGGCAACCATGATCAGAGGGTCAGAAAAATGAGCATGTGTATGTGGGAGAGGCAGGACGATGGGCCAATAGATCCAGAGATTCTTACTGATCCCCAGGGCCCCATCGCCTGGAAAGATCCTGTTGTAGCAACGTTTGGTAAATGATGATGCTCTGACCATGTTGTTGGTGGGGCACCCGAACAACACCTGGAGGCAGAGAGCCAGCTGAGACATCAATCACCGGGTCAGATGCCAAACTTACCAGTCTGCACAGTGGTTACGAGCGTGGGCTATAGCGTCGTAGGGTCTGGATTCAAACCCTAGCTTCTTTGCTGGGTCTATTTCAGGCCAAACGAGCCCCAATTTTCATGTACCCTCAAGCCAAAAGCGACAGAACTCATCGTTACAGAGAAAAGGTCCGGGATGGATTTGGGACATTTTTGTCAAATCGAGCTGCTTATTCCTGCTAATTTAATGACTTATCTTCATACACACACTTCTGGGATCAGTCACCAAGGGAAGGAGATCTGCCACTGTCGCAAATCAACTGTGCAGTGTCACTTAAGTCTCTTAACTTCCTGGGACCAGCTTTATAATAGTTTAATTTCAGCCCTGTTTTCCTAAAAAATATCTTGTTGGGCCATAATTCAGGTAGAAAAGGGCTCTGAAAGGTTAAAAGCATCTCTAAACATTTCAGAAGAGGTGCTACTAAAATTTAGCTAGTACCGAATAGTTGCCAGACCCTGTGAAGTCTCATTTAATTCTCACAGCAACCTCGTAGAGTTCATATTCTTATCCCCATTTTACAGAGAGGACAACTGTGACTCAGAGGGTTAAGTAACTTGCCCAAGGTCACACAATCAACCAGTAGTGGAGCCCATGTTTGCAGCCTGTATGCTTAACTGTTATGTGACACCACTTTCATCCTATGCTTTGCTTTGTACAGAATTTATTAGAAAGAATGACAGGGGAAAATGTCTAGAAAAAATATTAACATTAGTGAATTGTGCAATTACGTCCTCCAAGTGCTCTTGATGAAGTAGCATAGCCTATGAAAACCATCTCATTTCCCTTATTGTCTTGCCTTACAGGAAGCTCAGTATGCAATGACCTACTTATTTGCTATACTTCTCCTTACTCTCTCCCACCACAAGTCCATCCTGTATTTTCCTAATAAGCTTTCTGACTTTACATCTGTTTCCATGTTGCTTTTTTTTTTCTATTTGTGATATTTCGCAAAAGCCACTTCAAATCCTTTTTGGAATGAGACAGAGTAAGGGTATATTTAAAACAGAGGGTGACAGAATCATTGACGAGAATCTCCTGAGAGAATCCAGACCATGCCTAACCTTTTGACCTTGAGGGTGTCACCCATGGCTCATTTTGCTTCTAGAGTCTCTGTTGCCAGCCAAACAGACATCTGGGTGGGTCCTCAACTCTTACAGAGACCTGGTGGCCCCAGGCGGCAATGGCCCAACTTCCCATCACAGAGTTCAATAGCCGGTGTGCCTTGGCAAGCAAAATGAGCTCATTTCCATTGCTTTGTCATTCCAGGGTCAAGCCACAATGCCCATCAACAGGATAGAAAAAGAAATAACAATAGATTCGCAGAATGGAATATTGCACAGCAATTGAGAAGCACGAACTTCTCATACTGCCCGTGACATCTGTCTTCAAAATATATTCCTTTTACCTGTACATGGGTCTGTTGCCTTCTCTGAACCGTCAGCTCTCTGAGGACAGGGACGATTCCATCTTGCTTATTACTAAACACTGTCCATCTATGGATTAGTCAAAATTAGATGAACCAAAAGAAACTGCAATAAACTGGAGTGTGTAAACTTTGGACTCACTCTGACTGTCCAGTACAAACTGGATCCTCTCTTACCTTCAGAATGGCCAGCGAGTCAAACTCTGGCCAGAGATGGATAAATACACACGTTCCAGGAACGAGGCCATGATGCTCAGTATCCAAGCTGTGTCTGATGTGGCCCAGAGTAAGTCCGAGGCTTCCACGCCTGCCCGTAAGCTGAGGAAAGAGGAGAAACATAGGCACATGTAGGGAGCTAAAGCTCCCCAAATTCAAAAGAGTGCATGGATTGTCTCGGGAGGCCTGCTTGCATAAAAAGGAAAAGGCTGGTTCTGTGGAATTCCAGGAAGAAGAAGATTAAGTATAGCCTAAGGGAGTGTCAAAAGGAGTGTCAAAGGAAGTGTCAATTGTACCTGGATCTTCAGGATGTTACTTTTATTATGTTATTTGGGGATACACAAAGGAACAGATTGTGTTTAAAAGAAGGATAAGAAATAAACTCGGAGAGACAGTTGTGAGATCTGCTCTCCCTCCTGCACCCTGTCTGTCTTCTCTTTTTTCTCAGTCCCCGCTCCCCCATTCAGGTACCCGGTTTGACTTGGTCGGCTGGCTTCCGACAGGCACATATACGTGAGTGCACACTGGGGTGAATGAAGCATGAGTGTGCACGTGTGGGCAGGTGTTTGTGTACCTGAGTGTGTTCGCCTACCTTTGCAAGAATGTGGAAGTATAAGTAGGCGGGAAAAGAAAATTCTATGCACATCCTGTTTCAAGAAGCGGGGAGTGTGCAGAAGGTGTCACTCAGCTGACATAACTTACGAGATAATTGGGTCTTATTCTCATTTTATCCCCGGAATGTAGTCCAGTTTTTGGCATGTGGCAACCACCCAGAAAAATGTTTACTTACAATAGACATCTAAGTTATTATTCTAACAAGTAGCCTTGCTAAGTTCAAGTTCGCCTGAGTAGACCTTTCGTTCTTTATCTCGAAGCATCATAAATTGCCTAAGTTTTTTTCCTTTCTCTCTTTGGCCGGAAGAAAAAGTATTAGGTCTGCCTTAAAGCACAAATAATTTAAGCTAGATGTGAAGAATTTCCTTGTGCCTGGGAATCACTACAGTATGTGTCCTAAAGATGATTAATACTTTCAGCTCTGTAGGAAAATTAGGTCATCGTCTATTAGGAACAAATTTGGGGGGTCAGAGGGGGTGGGAATTTAATAGGCTGGGGTAGGCTGGATCCTTAGGAAGTACTAGTAACGAGAGGCAGGGAGCAGAGTGGTTTGGACACAGATGTCCCTGGGTTGTCAGAGCTATAAGGGATCTACTGAGAATAAGGAGAAAAGTTGAGTTGGTTGATGTCACACCACTGAGTCTAAGGCCAACACCTCCCCCCACCACACACACACATAAAATGCCCTACAGGCATTTCCTGTACCCAAACGCTCTTATGTAATCATTAAAATAATAAGGAAGGGCCCTCTTCATGGTCCTGCAATAGCACAGCCACCTCGATCCGGGCTCTTTCTCCCAAATCGGGGATACCGGATGCATTTTTGTTTTTGTTTTCTAGCCAGATGAGACTCTTGCAGATTCGTTTTATTCTTCCTCAGAATAACAACATTTACGTTCCACCTTTGACGAAGCTGATTTCACATGCTCTTCCTGATGCACAGCTTTTCCCCCGGGCTCACTTTCTGCAGGATGTGCACGGCAGACCTGTTCACCACCGCAGACCTATCTCTATTATTATGATCCTACTGACTCTGAGTTCTCCTTCCCTTTGGACAGCATTCCCTCCACATGTCACCTTTCTCTCGTGGCCCGTTCGCTCTTTCCATGGGGCTCCAAGATCCCGCAATTGTGGTCAGCTTCCTGTGATCACTCCTCCTGATTGATGAGAATACCTGTGTGCATGAGGAAGAAAGGCCAGGGTGGGTAGGTCGTGAACGAGGGGAGGTTGGCTTAGCGTGTCTTGAGTCTCCCTACATGCTTTTGTAGGGATATAACTGACATGTAACATTATGCCAGTTTCGGGTATGCCCCATAATCCTTCGCTATATGTGAATACTGCGAAACGATTATCGCAAGTTAGCAGCCATCATCACACACAGATGCAAAATTTGTTTTTGTGTGATGAGAACTTCTCTGATCTACTCTCCTAGCGACGTTCAAATATACCATTATGGTATGGGTAAGTGCAGTCACCATGCTGTACATTAACTCCCGTGACATATTTTTTCGTGGTGTTCACTGGAACTTCGCGTCCTTTCTTGAACACCGCTCGACAGTCACCAAATCGAACACCTCGTGTCTCCTCGACACCCCCATACCTGCGTCTCCCTGTGTTCCTCACTTCGGTGAAAGACAGTGGCGTCACACAGTCACCCAAGGGTCTGTGACTTCTCCGTCCCCCCTGGCTTTCTTCCTCTGCTGTATCTCATTCATCAAGAAAACCCTGCTACAAGCTTCCCCTTAATTGTCTCTTAGACCCACCCACTTCTCTCCATCTCTGTCACCCCACCCAAGTTGAAGCCATCATCATCCCTGCCTCTTCCCTGAGTTTCCCGCCCCTATTCTTTCTTCGCATTCTCTACACGCGAGAGTGGCCTCTACAAACAGCATGTGATCACGTCACTTTGTCCCTTTATGTCCCTCACTGGATAAGGGTCCAGGACCCTTGCCTCAGCCCTACGGTTCTGTTAGTTTAGTACTCGCTACCTTGTCTTCCAAATCGCTGATTCGACCCTCTGCTTCATCTCATCTCCTGTCGATTCCCTCTAATGTGTTTTTCACTTCAGTTATTGTATTTTATGTCTTCTATCTCTTAGTTAAAGTTCACACTGAGTTCATCTACTCTTCCCCTAAGGTCATTGAGCATCCTTACCACCAGTGTTTTGAACTCTGCACCTGGTAGATGGCTCGTCTCCATTTTGTTGAGTTCTTCTTCTGAAGTTTGGTTCTGTTCTTTCATTTGGGACATGTTTCTTTGTCTCCCCACTTTGCCTGCCTCCTTTCGTTTGCTTCCATGTATAAGATAGGACTGCTATGTCTCCTGGTCTTAGAGTGGCCTTATGTAGTAGATATGCTGTGAGACCTACTGGCACAGTCTTTCCTGGTCACCTGAGCTGGTTGCTCCAGCTGTGTCCCTTGTGTGGGTTGTGTGTCCCCTCCTGTCGTGGTTGAGCTTTGGTTGCTCTTTCCATGTCTGGGGAAAGGATTGACTCTCAGGCTGATTGGTTTTGAGGACTGGCTGGTGAGGGGCTGACTCTGTGGAGTGGGATTCACCTTAGCAGAACTCTGGTGCCTTCCCAGTCTGCCCTTGGGGTGTGTTGTCCTCAGATGCAGCCATGGGTGGTGCTCTAGTTTGGTCTGAAACTGACTGGGTGTGCCAGCCCTGGAGCCTCCTGGGAGGGACCCCACTGCAGGCCAGGTTTGGCTGCAGCCTGTGCCCCTCCCAGGGTCACCTGGCATGAACCACCAAGCAATCTTCAGATGGCCACCACCTGCTCTGGGCTTAGAGGTGCCTAGAGAGGCCAAACTGTGAACCGAGGCCAGCTGTCGCTAGTGCCAGGCTTGGGGCTGCTCAGTGAGAGGGGTACAAGGCACGCCAAGGCCATATGCTATTTGTTTGAGTTTTATGAACCTTTGAGAGATTTTAAGAAAGTCTGCTGCATGAGCCAAGACAGGCTGTTTGTATGGAAAATCCTCCGGTAGTAGCTTGGGTGGGCCCAAAAGTTGGATGGGGCGGAGTCTCAGGAATCACTGGGCGGGGTGACTGGCGTCAGCCAGGTTGATGGAGACTCAGACATGGCGGCCACCTGCGTCTGCACGCTAAGTGAGGGGAGGGCCCAATGAAGGAACAGTGGCTTCAGCCAGCACTTCTGTCTAGAAGAAAGCCGCCTCTCCAGCCCTCATCCCAAAGCCAGATAACTCAGTTCCTCCCCATGTGTCCCTGGAGCTTTTCGAGGAGCGGCCCCAGCACTGGAGCTCAGAGCGAGCGAGTCCATCAGTGAGTAAGTCTGTGCGCGGGCCCTTTGAAAGGAAGTCCAGCTGCTCTACATCTCACTCGGCCACCATCTCTGCTGGTTTTCACAGCCAGAGGTTATAAGGACTTCTCTTCCCAGCATTGGATCCCTGGGCTGTGGAACTGGGACCCCTCGCTCCCCCGAGGGGACCGCTGCAGCCAAGATATCCCTCCTGATTCTCAACCACCACATGCAGGTGTGGCGCTAGCCTGATCCCCGTCTCCGCTCCTCCTACCTGTCTTGAGGTGGCCTCTTCTTGTGTCTCCAGTTGTAAGACTTCTGTTCAGCTAGACTTCAGGTGATTCTCAGTGATGGTTGTTCTGTAGCTTAGTTGTAATTCTGATGTGGTCGTGAGAGGAGGCCAGCACAGCATTTGTGTGCTCTGCCATCTTGACCGGAAGTGCGATGGAGTGGGTTTTTTTTTTTCTTTATGTTTATGTAGCAAATTTATTAAGTAGCTTCTTTTATAGGTTCAGAATTCTTTTTTTAAACATGTAATTGCCACTTTATTTGAAATAATATACCCTAAAATTATTTAATTAAGATAAATCAACTTCGTACATTGCTACTGTCAACTGGAAAAACTCAAATTCTGTTCATAGCATATTTTTTTAACAGTGTAAATATAATATATATATTTACACTGTGAGTTCACCTCCTATAGTTAGATTTCTTTCTGTCACCACATATTTGACCCTCTTTACCCTGTCTACCTCCCCCTTCCCCCCCTCCCTCTAGGAACCATTAGTCTGCTGTCCATGTCCACGAGTTTCTGTTTATTTCTCCTGTTCATTTGTTACTTTTAGGTTTATATCCCACATGTAAGTGATATCATGTGATTTTCGACTTTTTCTGTCTGGCTTATTTTGCTTAGTATGATTATCTCGAGGTCCATCCATGTTGTTGCAAATGGCAGTATTTCATCTCCTCTTATGGCTGAGCAATGTTTCAATGTATATATGTACCACAGCTTCTTTAGCCAATTATCTATTGTAGAACACTTCAGTTGCTGGCCACTGTGAATAATGCTGCTATGAACATCGGTGTGCAAATATCTTTTCTGATATGGGTTTTCAA